TTTTGAGCTTTGTGTTCTTTAGATGAGTGTGTGAAGCGCAACAAAATTGATTGCTTAAGAAGAACGATGCATCACAGACCTTTGTGTTGTGTGAGCTGCACAGCATCAGACAACAGGGAATGGCAGGTGAACGATATTTTTACCAGAGTATATTATGTGCTCATTGAACAGATCATACGCATGCATCAAGCACATAAACCGTGAATAGGGAACACTTTATGAGACGCTCTTCCTTCGTTTCCATTTCTTTGAAAAGCCTCCGCTTGTATGGCCTTCATGCTTTTCATGAAATAGAGGCGCACAAGAACATTCTAAAACCGCTTGAATTGCTCACATCTTAAGGCTGATGTCTTGAGCAATACGCGATGAAACGATCGCTATGAAAAGTGCCAAAGTTAAACTTTAACAGGGGAAGAGCACTTCGCTTCAGTGCTGGGGGTGCTTGTCCCGAGCTGGGGCGGAGAAACTTTTTAACATTCTTGCATTTTTTGACAACTTTAGACGCGAAGACCTCTATAAATGCAATTATCCAATGCGAGAAAATACGTTGAGCTTGCCGTAAGTACTTTAGGTGGTCCGATTACGCGCCACAGTCCAAAGATGTGATGCTTTTAACCAAACGAGGGGGCGTTTTGCCTCTAACCAGCGTGTTGAAAGAAGTATCAGGAATACTTGATCAGATATGGTGTAATACCTTATCAGATAGTGGCCTTGTCCCTGTCATTTCTGTTCAGTTTTATTGACGCCTGTGCCCTAAAAATTCTGGGATGTTGACATTTTGTAGAGTCGATATTTTACGTGTCGGTATTATGCGTTTCGACTTTTCTCATGCCAATATTTTGCGGCCCATACTATTGTCCGCCGTTGACTAGTGTGTCGATGTTTCACCCTGATATCGCCTTAGCCATATTCTATACCAGTCGTTCATTAACGTCGCAGCTCAATTTCAGGTGTGCGCATTGGCGAATGGCTTCGCACGCTGTGGTCGGGAGCCATCTTTGTACAGACAACTTCATACATCGAGACAACCAAGCTGACAAACGCCGCCGATTTGGTGGTCTCGTTCCGGCCACTTCCAGACGGACAAGGCGAAGTGGCAGGACCTATGTGGATTCACGTGTCCGAGCAGGGTCAGGGGCTGGAGACAGAGGGGGCCCAGGCGACAGAGCAAGTGTTAGGCCCGCAACGGGACTGGGAACACGACCATGAACAGTCGATTGGCCTAAAACCAGCAGCAGTGCAAGAAACGGCGAGGGAAAGCCGATGGGGAGACTCAGAGCACGATAGGAAACGTCATCTGAGCCCTGAGCGGCGTGGCTCATCGTCAGACACAGAGCCAGAGCCGGAGCAGGGACAGCGCTCGGAGCCGGGGCGGGGACAGCGCCTGGAACCGGGGCAAGGACAGCGCCCGGAGACGGAACAGGGACAGCGCTCGGGGACGGAGCGGGGACAGCGCTCGGAGCCGGAGCAGGGACAGCGCTCGAAGCCGGGGCAGGGACAGCGCTCGGAGCCAGAGCCGGTGCCGGGGCGACGTGTCCGGCTCGGGCTCCTGGAGCCAGGTGTGCTCGGCCTGACGGTTCGGCTGTGGCGCGGCCTCGCCGGCCGGCCGTCCGCCCTCCTGCTGGCCAGCTGCGCCGGCGGTCGGCTGCGCATCCACCGCCGGCCAGCGCTGGACAGCACCGCTCGTGGCCGCGACGTCGGCTTCGGTGGCCAGCTGAGGGGCGTCACCCTACGCGGCAGCGTGATGATCGACGGACCGCCGCCACAGAACGGCAGCGGCCCTCTGCGCTCGGCCTCGTTGCTGGACCGAATCACGCTGAGGGGGCGGTCGCATGACCGGCGGCCTGTTCTCTGTTCGTATTCAACGCGCTGGCCGCCCACTTCGGCTTCGAGTACACGATCGAACCGTTCTTCATGACGCCAGGAGGGCCAGGCTGGGAGCAGGGCATTGCCGAGCTGGAAACGGGACGGCATGACGTCATTGCGCGCGACCTCTGGTACACAATCAATAATTGGAAGCGGTTCAACCTCATGCTCCCGCTCGTTGACGTGCATGCCAGCATCATCATAAAAAAGCCTGTCGTTGGCGATTATGCGTTCAACGTCCTTTCGCCCTTCTCGGGTGCTGTCTGGATGACGGTCGGCGCGCTGGCCGCGGCTCTCAGCGCTCTGTTCTGGCTGACGGACCGCATTGACGAGCGGCGGCGGCCGCCCCGCGACGCGGGCGTCTGGCCGGTGGTGCCGGCCGGGTGGGCCCGCCGCCGCCGCGGCCGGGGGCAGCGGACGGAGCGGCCAGCGCGCTGCTCGTGCTCGGCACGATCGGCCGACTGAGCGTGCCGTACCGGCCGCGGTCGTGCGCCGCCGCGCTGCTGTACCTCACGGCCAGCGCGCTGGCGCTGATCGGCGGCAGCTGCTACTCCGCCGTCCTCCTCAGCCACATGGCCGTGCGCAGCGCGGAGCCGCCCTTCGCCTCGCTGCGCGCCGCCGCCGAGCGCAACTGGACCTTTCTCTACGACTCTGCTGGCTGCTTCACGGACTTCTTCGGGCAGCCGGGGTTGACGGGCAGCGCGGCCGCCCTTGCGGCGCGCGGCCAGCCCCACATGTCGCTGTCGGAGACCGAGCTGAGCCGGCGTTTGGACCGAATGGTCGGTGCGGCCGGACGTCACGCCGTCGTCACTCACAAGGGTGTGCTCGCCGCGCGTCCCGGCTGCGAGGCACCCGACGGCTGCACCCTCTGCGTCTGGCCCGAACGCCTTTTCCTCGCGCACAGCTCCATGGCGTTCAGCAAGCACTTTCGCTACGTCCGCCAGGTCAACTGGTACGTGCTGCGCATGCGCGAGACTGGTGTGCTAGCTCGCGAGGTGCGGCGAGCCTGGGGGATCGCAGACCAGAGCCTGGCTTGTGAGATAGGCGACAGGCACCCGGTGAAACTGCGGCTTGGGCTTCGGGGCGCGGCACCCATTTTTCAGTTGCTCTGCGGCGGCGTGGCCCTCTCCTTGCTAGTGCTCACCGCTGAGATCATATGCGCACGATGCTACCCGCGTTAGGGGTATGTCGGTCATGCACAACAGCCGCTGCATGGTCACGGCGTTTTGCTGGGATTGCAATGGATACACGGCTTGGGCTGTGATAATGGAAGCAGACATGTAGGTTTTTCTGTGGCAAATGCGCTAACTAGAAAGCGATGGTGTCCTTTGATAAGTTATCTATGTGGTTATCGCCCTCAGTGGGCGCTTTCTGAAAATGTCTATCTACGAAAAGACGTGTCGCCTGTCATGTAAGCAAGGCCAATGAATGTTTCTGGCAGTATTGCTGTATTCGTGGTATAAACTACGAGCACACGCACCTACACACCGGAGCGAATAAAGTTTATTTGCGACTGCGCAACTCACTCGAGGAATCGTAGCTCGAAGTACTTTAAATGTTTTATTTACGAACTGTGCGAGGCATTCAGAATATTGGAGATAGCCGCTCGCAACACCACCGCCACACGTGCAGAAAATGTGCCAGTACCGGTGCCTGGGCCAGGCGTGCATCCAATGTCGGGCATGATGCATGGTACAAAATTTGCCGAATCTCTTCAGCTACTTAACTAGATACAAAACAAACCACTCATCCGATGACCACAACATGACGCATACCTTGAACATTTGGGCGTTGTGAAAGCGATTCCAACACGAGAGACAATGCCGGTTATCAATTGCCGCTCTCATAATTTTTACAGCCGTCACCCGGATAAGGCGCCATAAATTTCGGCGGCGTGGCGGCCCGCCGGTCCAGCATAAAGCCACGAGTTTGCAGATGATCTTCTAACATTCAAATGCATCGCAAGAGCGTTCGGCGCGCAAAGGTCACCCCTTCATGAGATTCAAGTGCAATAGGGCCGGGTACCGGAATCCGCCGCAGGTGCGTCTCGTCACGCGCCACGGGGTTTGTTGATATGTATGTATGTATCTCTTGGTCTGGCGCGAAACACTTGCGGGATCGATTCAGAGGAAATCGCGCAAAAACTGCTGCACAGCATGAAACGCCGAGTAAACGCCACGATGTGTGTGCCTGTTCTGGCCTGACCTGGGGCGGTGGACCCAGTTCCCCTGGGGCACGCGAGATGTCCCGAGTCGTGGCCCCAGGTCAGGTCAGGGATGCGACGCCAGTCTCAAGGCAATGCTGTGGCGGTGGGAATGCGGGGGCGTAACCTTTACCGTAACACTGATGTTTCCTTCAAACTATGCGTGCTGGTAAGCGGCCATCTTTTTTAGACCGCATGAGCCATGACGTGATCTTGGAGATTTTGGCCTCAAATCGGTGAGGGTAATTACAGGCCGTAGCTAAATTATCGCCTATCAGTCAGCATCATTGCTCAGTTCTGCTCTGCGCAGACCAAGTCACTGATTTAGGCGCCTTACGGATTCTTGTAGGAACATTAGCGTTGACGACAAATGCACATCATCACAAGGAAACAGTTCACACAGTTAACTCACTGCGCCCACTGCACTGGATGACACAGAACACCGCGCAAAATGAACGCATCTAACCTAGAAAAGCGGCACTGCGCAAGGATCACCTGTGAATCGAGCGCGCATGCGCGACCACCGCAGTCCCGATGATTTGATTTCGCCCGCCGGAGTCGACACTGCACTCATGTTTTTACTGACTAGGCACGTGCCAATGGTTTGAACAGTCGCTCCGCGCGCCTCCGAGCCCCGTAAGTGGCGCTCAGGTGCTCGCGCGGGGCAGCGGCACTGGAAAATCAGGCTTCAGCGCGCGACCGAAGCGACTGTAGCCGCGGCCCAGGCCCAGCTCGTGCGCGCCGCAGCCGCGGCCGTAGCCCAGCTCCTGTGGACTGGCGTAGATGACGTCCCCGGCCGGCGGCGGGCGCGCTGACCGGACGGAGCTGGGCCGCCCAGCGGCTGCGCTTCAGCCGGTACAGGCCCAGCCCGCCCAGCACGAGGCCCAGCTGGGCCAGCGCCACCGTGATCGTCACAGCCACCACTGTCGAGGCGCGGCGTACAGATGGCGTCCTGTGGCGGCGGAAGGCGGGGCACGGCTGGAACAGAGGTACGGCAGCATCAGACGACGGTGAACGGACCCCTGGTGATGGCGAGAGCAGAAGTGGGGGAGTGGGGATACCGGGGGGCGCGGCACGGCTGGAACAGGGCACGACAGGTGTAGATGCTCAGATGGGAGCAATGCTGGAAAGAGACTGGCTGTCAAAGCATGAATACAAACAAAGGGGTCATGCGCTGAGCTATGGAATGGGTGTGTCGGTGGCTGTGCGAAAGGAAAAAAATTGAACTAAAGTCTAGATATCGTGTTTTTTCTTCTCTTCGGCGTGAGGCGTGATGTGTCGTCCGAAGACCGCTTAGCTGTGCGGAACCGCGTGCTGATGAATAAAAATCACTAAAATATAAATCACCATGAATAAAGTCTTCATGCCCTTACGTGATGCAAAACACGATTCATTAAACTGACTGACGTCAGCATTGAGCATTGGCACCCTTGAATAAATTATATCTGCATCGATGAAAGACATCGCAGCAGGATAAAGGTGGATGCCGCCTCACCTTCTGTCTGATAGGCATGACGACTCTGCCAGTTGTGCCCGAACACGACGTCGTACTTCTGCGGCTCCACCGCCTCCTCTTCTTCCTCCATCATCAGCCGCACCTTCTCAGACGAGATATCCGGTCCCACCAGCAGCTGGAGGCACGCGTGACGCCGGTCACGGTCAGGTGACGCACCCGAGGTGCGATTAGGAGCGGGAAGTGGTGGCCGGACAGCCACTGACGGTGCGATCAGGAGCGGGAAGTAATGGCCGGACAGCCACTGATGGTGCGATCAGGAGGGACAGCCACCGACGGTGCGATCAGGAGCGGGAAGTAATGGCCGGACAGCCACTGATGGTGCGATCAGGAGGGACAGCCACCGACGGTGCGATCAGGAGCGGGAAGTGATGGACAGACAGCCACTGATGGTGCCATCAGGAGGGACAGCCAATGACGGTGCGATCAGGAGCGGGAAGTAAGGACCGGACAGCCACTGATGGTGCGATGAGGAGCGTGAAGTGATGACCGGACAGACACCGATGGTGCGATCAGGAGCGGGAAGTAATGGCCGGACAGCCACTGATGGTGCGATCAGGAGGGACAGCCACCGACGGTGCGATCAGGAGCGGGAAGTGATGACCAGACAGCCACTGATGGTGCCATCAGGAGGGACAGCCAATGACGGTGCGATCACTGATGGCTCGTTGAGGAACGGGACGTGTCGATCAAACAGACACTAATGGTGCGAGAGGAGCGGGAAGTGATGACCGGGCGGCCGCTGATGGCGCGTTGAGTAGCGGGACGTATTGATCAGACACTGACGGTGCACTGACGAACGGCAAGTGATGATCAAACAGACACTGATGGTGTGTTAAGGAGCGGGAAGTGATGACCGGGCAGCCACTGGTCCCGGCCATGGGCGTCTGGTGATGAGCGGGCGTTAGCTGATGTGTTTATGGATTACTGACGTCCTGATTTCAAGGGTTTGTTTCGCGTTTGCTGCAGCAATCGCTCCCAGCCGCTCCCTGAAATCAGGCGTTGTATGTAACAGGACAGACAGCGGAGTCCCCACCGCCTACTCACGGAGGTGGTGAGCGGCAAAGCCACAGGCAGCAGACTACCAGGCGTGGCGACCATGGCAGGGTGCGGCGCGGCCTCGACCGCCTCCTCTGAGGAAGGCTGGGGAGGTCGCCCATTCCCGGAGAGGACAGCGGCAACCCGCGGTGCCGCCGGCGCCTCGTCCTCCTCCAGCGGGTCCTCCGTGGGCGACTCCGGCCCGTCCTCCGGCGTCGCGCTCCTCTCGGAGGAAGAGGCGGTTGCCATCTCAGGCAGCGGCGTCACGGGGATGGGTGTGGAGGACGAGCTGGGCTCGGGGCGATCTGAGGAGGACATTCACGCCTAGTGATGGTGTCCGGGCAAGCGATGCAATCACAAGAGGGAAGTTCTCGATTATTAAGCCGACCACAAGATGGGCACTGTTCGTAGCCGTCCGGGTGACCGAGCTACATACGCGTGGTACACGGGTGCGACGCATGGAAATTGAAATGCGTTTCAGAGTCGATGCAGCGGCCCGCTTTCATCACGTCAACCATAGACCGCCGCAGCTCATCAGATAAACTCTCGCAGCTCATCAGATAGACCCTCGTAGCTCATCAGATAGACCGCCGCAGCTCATCAGATATACCCCCGCAGCTCATCAGATAGACCCTCGTAGCTCATCTGATGGACTCTGGCAGCTCATCAGATAGACCCTTGTAGCTCCTCAGATAGACCCTCGTAACTCATCAAATGGACCCTAGCAGCTCATCAAATAGACCATCGCAGCTCATCAGATAGACCCTCGTAGCTCATCAGATAGACCCTCGTAACTCATCAAATAGACCCTCGCAGCTCATCAGATGAACCGCTGCAGCTCATCACATAAACCTTCGGTGAGATTTCTAATCGCACAATCTTTTCGTACATGCACCCGTATAGCGCTCGCGAATAAGGCCGGTCAGCCGCCTGAGGCAAACACCCACCTGCGGTCGTCTGCTTAGTGGAGGGGCTAGCGGCGCTGGTCGGAACGCTGGTCGGCACGGTGGTCGGCACGGTGGTCGGCACGGTGGTCGGCACGGTGGTTGGAGCCCTCAGCGTGACGCGGTTGTTGAGGCTGATCGGCAGATCGATAGGTACTTGAGCAGCAGCAATCGTCAGATCCATGGGTACCTCAGCGGTGGCGGCCGAGCTGGCGGGTTTTCTCCGCGACGTCCTCCGCTCCGGTCTCGTTCAGCGAGCGACGGCGACGGCCGTACGAGTTGCCCGAGGGGCAGCGCGCCTGTAAACGCGCTGCTCTCAACACGGCGCCTCCACTTGCAGCGGGCTCCGAAATGAGGACACTTTAGTGGGGATTTCAAACCTGTTCTGGACCGTTTCCAAGCATTTATCCAAGCTGAGTGGCCGGAGAGTTCCCGGCTGCCTATTGCGATTGCGCGCTGCAAAATGATTTCCCCAATCAAATCCCTTATGTGACGGTTGGGGAAGCTGAGTAAAGCCCCAATTTCCAAAAGTGGTTGTCAATATGCAGTTGCTCGATCGACGAAATCTTGGAAAACCTCAACCATTCCCAGAGCCGGTTGAGGACAACTGAAATTTCTCAAGCTTTTCCCAAACTTTCCCAACCTTTCCCCAAACAAATTGCTGTCTGACGAACTGTCCCCTACCGGCGGACACTCGTCCTGGCAGAACTGCACGGTGGCGAAGAAGTTGACCCGCGCCGTGCTGGGGAAGCGGAACGCCTTGAAGTTAGCCATCAGGTTCTTGGACTCCCTGTCGATCTCCAGGGCCGGGAAGATGCTCGCATCCCGAGGACATCTGAGGTCATCGATGCAGATAGCACGTTAGTTGTGCGTTTCATTACAGCAAGAACGCAAAAACCAATCTCAAACAACAAGAGCATTGCTTGATTTCCGGCTAATTTAGTTACGAGGTCGTCGAAATGGATAAATGCATCATTGTGCACTAAAATCTGAAATGCACCAAAAAAGGAAAAAAGACACTAAAAGGGCATTAGAGATAGACTTCTCAAAAAGCATACGTAATGCTGGTTGCCTTCCACTGAATAATTGTCCTGCGCCGAGATTAAAGCGGTCCATCGAATTCGAAGCGGCTCGGCCGAGCAATAGCACAAAACACCGCAACAGCGCACAAACATGCGCTGAACCCAAACCAGTTGAGAGCTAACTATAAGTGGCTCCGCCGAGCAATAACCACAAACACCGCAACAGCGCACAAACATCTGCTAAACCCAAACCAGCTGAGAGCTAACCATAAGTGGCTCCGCCGAGCAATAACCCAAACACCGCAACAGCGCACAAACATCTGCTGAACCCAAACCATCTGAGAGCTAATCAGACGTTGGGCGCTGCTCAGTGGCGGCTGCCCCTCACCCCTGGTCGTCGATGAGCGCGAGCAGCTCTCCGTTGTCGGTGCGCGCCTCGACGCCCTTGCCGAGGATACCGAAGGCGCTGCCCGGGTCGGCGACGATCATGAAGGTCAGCTCCTCACCCAGGCTGACCTCGCTCGTGTCGCGACCCTGGCGTCCGACGATTCGGAGACTAACACTAGGGGTCGGCGCAGTGTTCGTAACCACCGAAGTACCCACGGGCCGAAAGGGCGCGCTGAAACGGAACAAGGTGGGGATGAGAGGGTAAGCGGTGGTGCCGGCGGGATGGTGATGCGAACCCAGAATAGACAGCGCCGGCGAACTCTAAACATGCTGTGGCTGATCATAAAGGTAATGACTGACTCCAGTAAAATCACGAGATTCATGTGGATGTTGCGATTTACCATGTAGTGGCTAAGTACTAGGATGACCCTCTTATAGATGTTGATGTTCCCTGCTTGTCAATTCACCCCACTGCTCCATGAATAGTCAATGTACTCTGTTTGCGTAAGCTTGCACTTTCACACCGCGCCAGACACCAAATAATTGCTGCAAAACATCCACACTCCCGTCCGGCAGCCGTCGCAGTCCCGTGACTGTGGACCGAGCGTCACGACGTGACGCCCGGCGTCAGTCCGAGCGTCGTGACGTGACGCTTGGCACCGGACACAGCGTCGTGACGTGACGCTCGGCGCCGGACCCAGCGTCGTGACGTGACGCCCGGCGTCTGACCCAGCGTCGTGACGTGACGCCCGGCGTCTGACCCAGCGTCGTAACGTGACGCCCGGCGTCGGGCCCAGCGCCGTGACGTGACGCCCGGCGTCGGGCCGAGCGTCGAGACGTGATGCCAGGCGTCGGGCCGAGCGGGCCGTGACTCACTTGACGTCGACGCCGCCGCCTTCAGTGAAGCGGTTGCCGGTGGGCGCGAGAGTCACCGTCTGGTCGTTGGCGTCGAACGTGCACTCAACCCGCACGGTCTTGTCCGACTCCTGCATGATGGTCGGGTGCTGCTGGATCACCACGTGGTTCACGTACCGGCCGCGACCCTGCGGCGGCGTGGCACAGGCAAGAGGTCAGCGGCGAACGGGGGGAGTGTGCGCGTGCTGGCCCGTCGGTGGCGTTGGGGACACGACCGAGGTAACTGCAGCAATGAAGGAGAAATCAGGCAGAAGAGGCGGCCAAAAAGGGACGCCATTCTATGGTGTCAACTTAGCTAGTTATTAGGTGTCAAGGGCGCGTCAACTGCAATGGTAATTTGTCTGATGTTAAAAAAGATGTCAAAAAGTTGCACATGGTGTCACAAAGACCACATTGGCTTATACTCTTCGTTGCTAGAACATACTATTCCATTTCCACGCTTGCATTATCTGAAAGAGTGCTTTATTTGATCAGGCACCAAATCTGACATGCACGGAATATGCGCTGAACAGGAGGAAAATGAAAGGAATTTCAAGTCCGCAGAGATGGCAGGCACGTTTTACGTTACAAGCGTTTCGTCTTGGCGAGCAATCCCGTTTCGAATCATTTCGAGTGGTATAACGCGGTCCTACAACAATGCGATTCTGGCATTGACGAGCTAATCTCAACACCCTTGGCAACACCAAGGTGAAAAAAGCACGCATGGGGGAGAGAACTGCAAAACACAGCCTTTTTTACTATCCCTTCGGCATCCGCACAAGTCTCCGCAGGGCTCATCAAAGATGAGGCTCTCAGCAACAGCACACTAGCAAGCTACAACCCGCTGTCGCGTGCGGACGCCACCGACCTCCTCAACGGTGCCACAGCGGCTGCCCAACGGGATGGAGAGCAGCACAGTCTGTCGGCCGTTGCCCATGTCGAAGCAGGCCTGCGCGTTGCCCGTGGCGTACACTCGGCCTTCGAAACGGCTCCCGAAGCTGAAGGTGACTTGCATGTCGTTCTTGCTGCACTCCACCTGAACTGTGGTGCGGGAGAGGTGTCGGTGGTGAGGCTAGGGCGACAGCGAGCGCCGCTGTCGAAGACGGCCGGCGCTTGAGGATGTGTGGGCAGCTCGCTCATCATTGGTCCTAGATGACGTCGGGTTTGTCGGCGATTGGTGATACGCCATCAGAGGATGCGAGCAGCTGTGGGGTGACCTATCGCGGATCAGATGCTGATACTACCACCATTGCTTACTGAGACACTGCAGATGTAAAGGAGTATGTATCTATGGGCGGGTATAGAGGCCACGCGATGCAGAGAACTACACATTACACAACCGACACCGCTATTAATAGTCCGCTTTCGACCGACAGACAAACTGAGCAGGCACTGAAAGTCGTTACGCCAAGTCCACGACATGCCACAGAAGGCAGAGGCTCCGAGCATGCTGAGAAGTCGGGAGGGAGGTAGAGGGAGAGAGAGAGACGGAGTACATCATGCCGTCTAGCGACCGCCGACTGCCAGCCGTCCATCGCCTCCTCCCGACCAGTCAAGCGGCATAAGAGGCGCTACCTTTCTCCGACGAGAGGGTTTTCTCCGAAGAGGGACATCCAAGTCTCTACTGTGAAAGAGGTTAGAGCTGATACGTTGTCAACCAGATAGGAAATGTGGTGCCATCTCGCACAAAGATGTGAGAAATTTCTATCTGCGATAAACAGTATACATAATTGCCCGGCATGAAATGCTTCAGGACGTTGTGTAAAGTTGACTTTCGTGCATCTTACAATGCTTACAATTCAGTTTTGTGGAAGTTGATCGATATTATTAGCACAGCAAAGAAACTGAACATCTGGGCTTAGTGCATTGCAAATGACGCTGTAGAATTAGAGCATATTTTAGTACGCCTCCTCTGGCCCACTGTGCGTGTGCCGCGTGCCTTGCTGTCCTGGTGGGACGTCCTCCGCGGTGCCACTGTACTCCGTCTCTCTCTGATCTGGGTGTGGTCCGGTTTTCGTCAGGCCCGGCTTGGGAGCCTCTGCCTGCTGGAGCTGGTCAGACTCGATAGTCTCTGCCTGCTCCGGTCTGTCGGTTCCGGAAGCCTCTTCTTGCTCCAGCCTGCCGGGCTCGGGAGCCTCTCCCAGCCCCAGCAAGCCGAGTTGGGGAGCCTCTCCCAGTCCCAGCAAGCCGGGTTGAGGAGCCTCTACCAGCCCCAGCAAGCCGGGTTCGGGAGCCTCTCCCAGCCCCAGCAAGCCGGGTTGGGGAGTCTCTCCCAGCCCCAGCAAGCCGGGTTGGGGAGTCTCCCTCAGACCCAGCAAGCCGGGTTCGGGAGCCTCTCCCAGCCCCAGCAAGCCGGGTTCGGGAGCCTCTCCCAACCCCCAGAAAGCCGGGTTGGGGAGCCTCTCCCGGCCCCAGCAAGCTGGGTTGGGGAGTCTCTCCCAGCCCCAGCAAGCCGGGTTGGGGAGCCTCCCTCAGCCCCAGCAAGTCGGGTTCGGAAGTCTCTCCCAGCCCCAGCAAGCCGGGTTGGGGAGCCTCTCCCAGCCCCAGCAAGCCGGGTTGGGGAGTCTCTCCCAACCCCAGCAAGCCGGGTTCGGGAGCCTCTCCCAGCCCCAGCAAGCCGGGTTCGAGAGACTCTTCCTGCTCCAGCCTGCCGGGTTTGGAAGTCTCTCTCTCGACGGCCGGAGGCAGTGCCGGTGTCTCGGCTGCGACCGGTCAGCAGGGCTTTACCGGTGCGGCAGACGCTCCGCTCGCTGAACACGCTCTCCACGTCGGCCACGAGCGCCCGCTCGCCCAGACTGCCCGTGTCGTCACTGCTGAGCGTGCACTCCCCGCCGCCGGTCGTTGTAGTTGTAGCTGCGGCACCTGAGGTCGAGGAGAGCGTGAGAGGCTGGGCGCAGACCCGCCGCGGCAGAGGTCACAGAGCAGAGAAGGTGAGGAGAGGCACATGGTGTAGGGAAACTCCGGCGGTGACCGAGAACACCCGTTTCGGTTGTGGGCCCATAGTGCTGACGTTAAAAAAATTTGGGCGAGCTAGGTGCAGACAGCTTAACCTGAGACCTTGGGAGGCATCGCGCATTTGAACACACTGTTACAGCTGAGGTGAATATGGCTCTGACAACGATGTTCGGAGGCGAGTACGTGGCCTCCAATGGCAAATTTGGCCTCGTGAAACGCAGACCTCTTTCGTTCTCTGTCCACTACTCTCACCTAACACCTCAATGAACAGCTCACATCACAGTTCGCACCTTCAACTTACCTTACCACCGTGGCCTTGGGACAATTGGCCCTCCAGTGCGTACCTCGTGCCACGTGGCCCCCTAACGCGCTGCGTACATGGGGATGGTCGCACGACCAACACGCTACGCTGCGGTCTCTCGGACTGCCGTCTGCTTACTTGAAGTCGAGCTCCACGTCACAGCTGCGCATACACTCGGCTTTGTTGGCGACCCGCGCGATCATGCGGTCCACGAAGGGCAGGAACCGGCTCTCAACATCCCGGTACTCGCAGTTGGGCGGGTCTGGAACGGAGAGCCGCCACTGTACAGGACCGCCATCCGCCGCCAGACGGCGAGGCGCGTCGCGCTCACCGGGAGGTCATCGGAGGGAACCCACGGCTGTGCCCTACAGTCAGGCGGGCGGCGCAGCAGCCACCTACGGACCCGGCTACCCAAGCCCGGTGACCTCGGTTATTCAATGCCAGCACTGGTCAGCAGTGGTCGCCATCGCAGCGATGAAGGAGCGCCCGGGCACGACCCGCCGACGATCAGCACCGCCCGGGCACGACCGCCGACGATCAGCACCGCCTGGGCACGACCGCTGACGATCAGCACCGCCCGGGCACGACCGCTAACGATCAACACCGCCCGGCAACGACCCCCGCCGGACCGCGCGACGATCAGCACCGCCGGGCACGACCGCCGACGATCAGCACCGCCCTGGGCACGACCGCCGACGATCAGCACCGCCCTGGGCACGACCGCCGACGATATCAGCACCGCCCGGGCACGACCGCCGACGATCATCACCGCCTGGGCACGACCCGCCGACGATCAGCACCGCCTGGGCACGACCGCCGACGATCAGCACCGCCTGGGCACGACCGCTAACGATCAACACCGCCCGGGCACGACCGCCGACGATCAGCACCGCCTGGGCACGACCGCTGACGATCAGCACCGCCGGGCCACGACCGCCGACGATCAGCACCGCCTGGGCACGACCACCGACGATCAGCACCGCCTGGGCACGACCGCACGCGATCAGCACCGCCTGGAGCGTGAATGGAGCGCGCGGCAGCTTACCGGGTGCACACTGGTTCTCCAGGTATTCGACGTCGGCGTCGTACACAACTCGGAGGGCTGGGTGCGGCGGGTCTGGGTTGACAGGGCGCACGTTTGCTCGCGGACATTGTACTCAGCCGATCTGAAACGCGACAGGGTCAGCAGGCGCTCGGGCGGCCGCTCAGGCTTCAATTTCTGTCACCGCTCTTTCACCGCGCGTGCGAAAACTGAGTGCGTTCGGCAATAGAAATCGCTACCTATCTTAATGCTTGGATCATGCGCTAGGGTCACCTAGTGGCTCTTAGAGGCATGGACGGCATGTCTGGGCTGAATGGGGGAGGGGGGGCATAGGGCGCTCGCAAAGGCGCTCAATGCCTTGCCTTCCTACATCCAGACTTAGCTAACCAGACAACACCCCCATTACGGACACTGTTGAAGGCCTGCTTACACAAAGGTGTGACGCCAGCAAAGTGTCATCAGGCAGTTCCATACATCGAGAAGTTCCGATGACATCAGCTCCCGTGTATGTTGAAATACTGACCGGCACGGCATGCGAATGTTCTGCAGGCAGAGCGTCTCGCACATCTCCTTGTTCCTGACGCGAGGGATCACCAGATCGTCGTGACCTTCGATCACGTAGTTCGGCACGCGCTCGAAGGTCCAGCCCTTGCCGCAGGTGCGCTCTGTGGGAACGCCGACCTTGAGTGCGGATGACCGACACATGCTAAGTGCTTCCAGCGTCTCCAGCTTAAGACCAAGGCATATCGTCCTGTCTTGATGCAGCTTGCACGAAGCCTGCCAAGCTCCAGCACAGTTCCCAGCGTGGGCACGTCGCCACCCCCGGGTGGAACTCATCTGAAACAAATATTTGCAAAGCCGGCGTCCTACGAGCGACTGTTTGCAAAACCCACTGTCAAGACAGCCCCCCCCCCCCCTCCCCCCTCTCCCCCACACACACTTGGCTCACCTTCGATGCAGACTTTCTCGAAGTAGGACATGCCGTCGGCGACGCTGAGCGTGCCGCCATCTTGGCCGGCCGAGGTCTCCAGGCCGTAGCAGCGCTCGCCCTGCTCGCCGTACTCCAGACTGATGCCCAGGCAGCGACGATTCCGCTCGCACTGAGGGGAGCGCCGGCCGTCGCCGTCAGCACGCTGCGCACCTCCCAAGACCGCCAGAGTATCGACAAACTGCGGCCAGTCGGCCGATCGGCCGGGGGATCACCCGCGGGCATCCAATGTCCAGCTCTGCGGACAGTGCTGCAGACTGCAGTGCAGCAGCTGACGAAGCTGCCTTCCCTTACTCAGGGGTCTCATGGCACTAAAGGCGCATGGCACTACGTGTTTTCCGTCGGACTGTAGCTCATGCAAGTCTACGGGAAGCAGCATGATAATCTCGGTTATCTTACGGAACGCGGGATTGAAGCAACCATTGCTTTAGAAAACAGGATGCTCTAATTGGTGACGTATGCAACTCATTACCGCACTCACTGCACACTCCACATCAGCGGCCTGGCAAGCCCAACGCTTCAGTCGGTCAACACCCTGGGTTACCGTCCTCCCGCGCCCAGCGCTTCAGTCGGTCAACACCCTGGGTCACCGTCGTCCCGTGCAGTGCTCCTCACCTGTAGCAGGCAGGGCACGGTGACGCCGCGGCCGCGGCCGCGTGCCTCGATCTCGAAGCGGCGAGCCGGCCGGTACTCGACGTTGAGCACCTTCTCGTAGGTGGGAGTGACGCGGCAGCGCTGGATGTCGGGCGACCGGCGGCCGCCGGTGTCCACCTCGTTGCCGCCTGTTGTGGTTGAGTCGTCGTCTTACATAAGGGTGACGGCCCGAGGGAATGTTAGTCGGCAGTGGCGCGGCTCTGGCGGTCTAGGCGGTCAAGCCAGGTCCCACGGCACAAGCGGGTAGAGTGAGGCTAAGGATTTGCTCGTGCAGATGGCTGGTTCGCCCGTTTTCTCCAGACGTGCCCGACACGGCAGAACCACGACCGGAATGTCGGCGTAACCACGACTCTCACAGGTGAGCCTCTCCTGCATCCGCCCACCTCTCGCGCCCAGCCCCGCTGAGGCAGTCGAATGTCACCTGCCAAGCCAATGCACACACAACGCACCCGCCACCTGGCGGACACTCACAGCATCACAAGCAGGGTTCGATATCGCAAATACAACCGTATGGGGAACTGGCATGAGTGTGGCTTAATCGTATGTATATTCTTGATGATGTGAAAGCCCTTAGTGTATGGACTTGCCAGCTGTCTACTGCCAATTCTCGGGCATTAGCCTCCCGTTTGCAGCTGTAAGTGAAGTGCAGCGGATAATATTGCCAAGTGCTCCGAGTGCCTTACACAATAACTTGTACATTTCGGTGTATCCACCTCACTGATATGGCCGTGTGGACAACATCATGTCCAATCGGATCATGGGTGCTGCCCCAGGCACTCAGGCTCATGCGTGAGTTTTAGATTTCCCTGAACTATACTGCCGCAAACGTCAAGAGTCGATGGGGCCACTGACCTGCAAACTTACTGGTGTCTTGGAAACCAGTAGCGCAAGAGGACCTTTAGACTAACAAAGACAATGCTCATAAGCAAACGCTATCATTATTGACAGCTGTGTGCTTAGCTTCCCTGTGACCTGCCTTCATACCTGGATCGGGGCGGCCACCCGAGCCCGGCCTCCCGCCACTGTCGGGCCTTCCGCCGCTGCCGGGGCCTTCCCCGCTGCCGGGCCTTCCCCCGCTGCCGGGTCTTCCCCGCCGCCAGGACGTCCCCCGCTGTCGGGTCTTCCTCCAGTGCCGGGTCTTCCTCCGCTGTCGGGCCGTCCCCCGCTGCCGGGTCTTCCCCAGTGCCGGGTCTTCCCCCGCTGTCGGGCCGTCCTCCGCCGTCCGGCCTTCCGGACGCCCGGTCTTGGCAGATGCGCTCGGCGTACAGGGCGCCATCCAGGAACTGCACCCCGCTGCGATCCAGGTCGTTGGCACGCACCCCAGACAGCAAGCACGAGGCTTGCCGGTCCCGGCCCTGCAGATAACGCCGCGCGTGAGGCCGGTCACAGGTCGTCGCGAATGACCTCCGCTCGGGTAATGGCGTGCCGTTTGGACGACAGTGGCATGTTAACTACAATGCACATCACTCACAGCCAATGTGGAAGTGTTCAGAGGTATGGTGCTTGTTGGACAGTGAGCAGTGCATCGCAGTTAGGAGCTTGTACGGAATATAAATCTACATTCATTTTCGCTAGGCCTCGCCGGATGTAACCAGGCAGTCTTAATATGAGCTAATAAATCAGAGATACCAAGCTGGTAAGACGGATCCCTGGTCCTGGCAGAGCCATGAAAGAATGAGGAGCGTCCCAGCGCACGTGCCATCACTGACTGTGGCGAGGAAGGAGTAGGAGGCGCAGTTGAAGTCGCGCTCGCGGGTCGCAGGCCTCGCGGCATCGCGAGTCGCTGAACTCGGACACCGCCTTGTGCGTGTACACCAGGAACACGTCGCGGTCCTCGTTCCGGTACGAGCACTCTCGGAACTCTGCAAGCGATGGCGAGAGGCGTCAGGTTGATGCGGTCCAAGCCGCATGAAGGAGACACCGGTGCTGCCGGCGGCCGTCCTACCGCCCCACATCGAAAGGGAGCTGTTCGTCTGACTGGAACTCGCATTGCTCGTCTGGAGCAATACACCCCAGCGCCCCACACACGGCGTTACACAGACATGCGCGTTGTTCTGTGCCCTGTTTGGCATCGCAGCTCTGGTGGTGAGCACATGGCACGCCCCGTGCCGTGTTGCCTCACCCCTGGCGCACTGGTTCTCGAAGTAGTCCCTGCCGTTGGTGCGCCTCAGCGCTCGGGGAGCGCTCTGTCCTGTTCTCGCGACTCAGCAGGCACAGCCGTTCTCTGTAGTCGTACGTGACGGATCTGCAGGCAGGGCAGCGCGTCAGTACACAGCACCACATCACTCACAGCTTGTATCTCGAGGTTTACATGTGCGTCGAAGGGCACCGCCTGTGTTTCAGAATTACGTTACGCATATGTCAGAAAACAATGCGTGACAATGTTGGGAGCACAGTAGGACATGTTGATGGGTGTCGGCAAAAAGTAACTGCACTGACCTGCAGTCAAATCTGGTCTCCTGCAGACACTCGTCCTGGCACTCGAGCTTGGTGACGTCACGGACCAGCCTGTCCTCCCTCACGGACAGCTCGGCGTTCACCAGTCGCTCAAATGTGTACAGTTTGCCGCACCCCCGACCTATCGGCAAATTTGGAGACCGCTGCTGACAGCTGCTCTGACGAACGTGGCGGCTTGGACAGCGCTTATTACCTTTGGTTAGTTGCAGAGTGGATGTCAGTATCGCGAACGCTTCTCGCAAGGGGTGAAGGTCGTGATTAATGCAGCGTTAGCGTCCACCCCTGCAGCCCATTCCCAATAGGTTAGAGCACCTGCCTCCTGACTGTACGTGGCGGAGTGCGTGGGTTCGAGTTGCCTCGGTGCTGGCTATTTCGCCACAGGCTTCAATGGCCTGTGGCTTGACCCTTCGGGCGATTCAAATGTTTTGACTATTTTGCTTTAGTGTAGAATTTGGTTGCTCTGATGCCAGTGGCATGGAGCCACATCGAGTTCTTCTCGTCCGGATAATCTACACCCACTCCAGCTCCGTGGATACGACAATTAAGGGCGCTGGGACTCACACCAAAAAGTTCTGCATTCGCGGTATTCTGGAAAATGCTCTGAAAAACATCAACTGACGTTGATGCCCAAAACAGTGAACTCAGCCAGCAACCACAGCCGTGATCAAACAACGCATAACCTTGCACTTTAACCAAGTGCATGGTGGAAAAACGCATCCACACCAGCAGGCGGCACTCGCCCCGAACGCGCCGCTGGGCGGTCGCCGTGCTCACTTCTGGGGCAGATCTTCTGCATGAAGCTGACGCCGGGCGTGTCGGTGAGGTCGCGGGGGTCGACCTCGATGTTCTCGCGCAGCTCGAGGGCCGAACAGCGGGCTTCGCGCGCCCGCCGGTCCCGCCCGCGGTGCTCCAGGTTGAAGGCCGAGCAGCGTCGAGACCGGGTGCACCTGAGGTCACCACGAGGAGTGTTACGGCCGGGTGCACCTGAGGTCACCACGAGGGGTGTTACGGCCGGGTGCATCTGAGGTGACCGCGAGGGGGTGTCACGGCCGGGTGCATCTGAGGTGACCGCGAGAGGGCATTATGGCCGGGTGCACCCGAAGCCATTGCGAGGGGGCGTTACGGCCGGGTGCACCTGAGGTCACCGCGCGGGGGTGTTATGTCCGGGTGCATCTGAGGTCACCGCGAGGGGGTTTCATGGCCGGGTGCACCCGAGGCCATCGCGAGGGGGCGTTACGGCCGGGTGCACCTGAGGTCACCGTGAGGGGGTGCCCGGCCGGGTGCACCTGAGGTCACCGTGAGGGGCGTTATGGTCGGGTGCACCTGAGGTCACCGTGAGGGGGCGTTATGGTCGGGTGCACCTGAGGTCACCGTGAGGGGGTCCCGGCCGGGTGCACCTGAGGTCACCGTGAGGGGGCGTTATGGTCGGGTGCACCTGAGGTCACCGTGAGGGGGCGTTACGGCCGGGTGCACCTGAGGTCACCGTGAGGGGGTGCCCGGCCGGGTGCACTGAAGGTCGAGGGGAAGGGGTGAGATGCAGCTCTGAGCATGGTGCGTGAAGGCCAAGATAACGGGGATGTATTGGATGAAAATAGGGCTTTAGGCTGGCAGAAGCAGACGACAACGCGCTGAATGTTCTTTAGCAGGGGAAATAAGCACGCGGCATTAAGTTGGGTGGCCTGGGAGCCCCTGGCATGAAATGTGGCACTGAAGTGTGTTACAAAGCGCTTGTCCCCTCTCCCCCAAAAATTAAACAGATGAAATACACTACTTTGGATTTAGTACGTAATGACAGCGGCTTATGCTTGGCGAAGTGGCGACTTAGAAAGCAGATGCACCCGTCGAAGCCACAACATGAAACGCGTGGATAGTACCTGAATTGCCGTTAGTGCCAAGTCATGTTGTACTCACTCCCTGGTGCATTCGGCCATGATGCCGGGGTTGTCGAAGTCCGAGACGAGCTCTGAGCCCCGGATTTGTCGCATCTCCACGCCCGTAATGAGCTCGTACTGGTCACAGTCGATCCCGCCTGTCCCACGGAGGCACCAGAGTCATTCACTGCGAAGGACTATGATGGCGTTTCGGCCACAGCACCACACCATAGTGTGTGTTGACAAGGTTTTCATGCAATTGGCTGACTGGAGCGGTCAGAACACGATATACATAACAGGAAAGGGAATAGCTGATCATATGCATTCTACGGCTAATCATAAGTATCATTATTTAATTTGACACTGACCGGTTTCACGACGCCTGATCTGTGTGTATGAAACCTTTGTGTCACATCTATGCTGTTTGAAAACACACTTGCATCACAAAACGGAATCGGAAAAAGATGGATGAGCATCGAAAGAGGCGAGATACATAGCTGTTATACACGAGTAGCGGTAATATCCAGCGATGTGCAACAAAGCCTGCCCAGATATGTCAGCCAGATGTGATCTAAACAGACCGGCTCACAACGGTCAAGTAAGGAGTGTTGGAGGAGGGGCGCAAGGCGCCTGCCGATGCTGATCCGATGTTAAAGACACCAAGGGAAATAAGACAGAAATGATCTCGAGTGGCGGGGGAGATTTGCAATTAGACTAAGCGCTGTGGAAGAGGAAGGACGGATGCCTGAAAAAACATCAGTCATATGGTAGTAAAAGTATGGAGAAACCACAAAAATATGGAGTAATCGAGTAAGACTTAATCTCTATAAAAATATGGAGATTAAGTACAGGACATAAGAAATAGGTTGAAAGGGTAATACCACCACCCAAAAATGGTTATAGGATGCTACAAAGTAATACGATTATTGAGCTGTAGCCGGCCGTTCACCACAACTAGTACAAATACGTCAAGAGCATTCTCAAGCAGATCCTTTCAGCCAAAGCATAGCCAACGGCCTTCAGCAAGATGCATCGGCCTGAAGAAAGCACTGATGGCTTACTCTGTGGCTGTTTCCGCCCGTCCATCGGCTTACTCCGATTCTGGTCGCGACTAAGAGCGGGCTTAATCCACTCGGCGCTGGTGTCGTTGCCGGTCGGAGACAGCTCGGGGAACGGCTGCACGCCCGCCACCTGGCGAGTCCGAGCGAACCGTCTCGGCAGCCGGGGGCGGGCCCGGCTGGGGCGGAGCCGACGGGGCGACTGGCCAGCGCCAGCCCGTAACTGGCGGAGGCGCCGGCGGGCCGCGGCGGACGGGAGGGAACAAAAGCGACGGGGTGGGAGCGCGGCGGGTGGGCCCGGCGCTGTTTAACACATACAGGGTCCGGCGCCGGCGAAACGGGGCCCGTCCGCCTGCAGGGAGCGCCATGTTCGCACCTCCCGGCCGCCCGCTGTCTGGTCGTACGCCGTCCGGCCGCCCCCCATCTGGTCGCCCACCGCCGGGTCTACCGCCGTCAGGTCTGCCGCCATCAGGTCTGCCGCCATCAGGCCTGCCGCCATCAGGTCTGCCGCCATCAGGCCTGCCCCATCAGGCCTGCCGCCATCAGGCCTGCCGCCATCAGGTCTGCCGCCGCCGCCAGGACGACGACCCACGCAGTCCCGCTGGTAGAAGTCCGTCCCGGCGCGTGACAGATAGGCCTTCTCACCGGCCGAGACTGAAACAGAATCATCCCGCTGTTGTTACCGACAGAGCAAGTATCGGCGACTTGACCGGCACCGAACCGACCATGAATAGGATAGTGAGCTTTAATAAATCTAATAGAGTGGCTTTTAATGACTAATCAACGATCTCGAGGTCTGAGGGTAGTATTTTTACACGAAGAGCCTTAGCACGCCTGTATCTCCCGCCCAGTAGACGCCGTTCACTTCTCAGCTCCGTCGCATTCGTCCAGCAGACGCCACCCGAACTCAAATTCATGCTCCCAGCTCCGTCGCATTCGTCCAGCAGACGCCACCCGAACTCAAGTTCATGCTCCCAGCTCCGGAAATTTGTAGCACTCACTCTCATCGTCTCCGCTCAGCAGACACTGTCCGGCCGTGGTGTACAGAGCGAACGAGCGGCACACGAACTGGCGGTTGTTCGTGCAGAGCCGCTCGCAGTCCGTGATGCGGTCCACGCGCGGGATCGTCAGGTCGATGTAGCGCGGGTACTTGTCCGTGGTCGGCACGTAGTCGCAGCGCGTGTCCGCTGCGGGTGCGACGCTCGGGTTAGCGGGCGTGGCGTCTCGCGCTAGACTTGTAGTGAAGTTCTGCATGAGTGGTGGACAGCAATAGTAACAGACAGCAGACGTCCGTGTTTCGTGAAGGAAACATAGCTAGCTGTCCAAGACGATAAATACCATACTGCACCATCTATCATGATCATCCCATCTCCACCCCACACCCCCCACACCCTCTCCCTCTCTCTCCCTCTCTCCTTCTTTCTTTCTTTCGCGCTCCCTCACCAAGTCGATTTTGTTTTACTTCGCTCTTAAACCTTCGACCCTCTCCCCAAGTGTGCCCCCTGCACGAGCTTCATTGCACCTTCGCCAGTCCCCAGGCCTCAGTCTCACGCCTAAGCCCCACGCGCCGCGTCCCGGTCCTCACCGCCCAGACACTGGTTCTCTAGGTACTCGACGCCTCGGCCGGCTTCCACGTAGTCGTCCGGGAACTGGCGCCGGCTGGCCCTGCTCAGGCGGCACTCCAGCGTCTCTGCGTCGAAGGTGGCAGACCTGGCCGAGTCGTGGCGGTGCGTCACGCCTGGTACCGCGACACGGCGCGCTCCAGCGGGAGCGACGGGGAGGGTGTGACGCAGCGAGCATAGGTGCACGTCTCTAACTAGGGTACAGAGCACGGGCCGGAGGGAGCGGTGCGCGAAACCGCCGCTGCCCAACGGCCACTGAGCAGGCTGTGGGGTTTAATGGCGTAACAAATACTAGCGAAAATATTCAGACTCAATTACATGCCTCCGACCATCGCTCAAAAAGGCTTCTTGTACTGAAAGGCTTTATTCAGACACACGACAACGCATATCTGTTAGTTCCCAAGTCGGCCTTATGTTGTGCATTGCCCAGCTATACACACGTGGCCTCTGCGTTGTGGATGCGTGGCTGGGCCCTGCCGCGAACGGTGGCCGGCGGGGGTGCCTACCTGCAGTTGTCAGCCAGCAGCGTTCTGGCAGTCCTTGCGGTTAGGTACCGCCCTCAGCACACGGTCGTCGTGGTCTCTCAGCTGCATGCCTGGCACACGCTCGAATGCCCAGGTTCGGCGCGGGCAGCTGTGGCGGCGGGCCCTGCGGGTAGCCTCCTCCCGTTACGATACTACAGCTGGTGGCGGCGGGGCCCTGCGGGTAGCCTCCTCCCGTTACGACAGCTGGTGGCGGCGGGCCCTGCGGGTAGCCTCCTCCCGTTACGACAGCTGGTGGCGGCGGGCCCTGCGGTAGCCTCCTCCCGTTACGACAGCTGGTGGCGGCGGCCCTGCGGGTAGCCTCCTCCCGTTACGACAGCTGGTGGCGGCGGCCCTGCGTAGCCTCCTCCCGTTACGACAGCTGGTGGCGGCGGGCCCTGCGGGTAGCCTCCTCCCGTTACGACAGCTGGTGGCGACGGACCCTGCGAGCAGCCTTCGCACGCTACGAATCCTGCGGGCAGCCTCCTCCCTTTCCGGACCCTGCGGGGAGCCTTCTCCAGTTACAGATCCTGCGGGGAGCCTTCTTCCGTTACAGATCCTGCGGGGCCTCCTCCCTTTACGGACCCTGATGGGAGCTTCCTCCAGTTACAGATCCTGCGGGGAGCTTCCTTCCGTGCGGGCCTGCCCTTCTCCCGTTACGGACGGCGCCGGGGATGCTGTGGGCACCGGTTTCGCAGTTGTTCGCGTTGGTTGCAGAGTGGGAACTGAAAAGGGTCTTCGAGAGAGCGACTTAACATCTCAGAAAAGCAGCCAAAACTGAGTGTCCAGCCGGGTCGCAGCTGTGACCTCACGGCTCCGCGGTCAGATGTGACGATGTCGACGAGACTGTGCTGTATGACGTACGGTCCTTCGGAAGAGGCGCCACCACAAGCAAAGCACCAGGTACCGATTGCGGCCTGTTTAGGGCACATAAGGGCAAGTGGTGCAGGCATGTTCGGAATGGCGGAGTCTGCAGACAACTTTGGGTGTCGTTCACGCGTATGTTAACAC